AATGCTAGGGACTGGAACACACACCTGGCACTCCTAGAGCTATTATAATTGCATTCAAGAGAATATAGCCAATTGTACCATCACTGCTCATTTCTTCTGTGCCACAACAACATCATTCCAGGCCTCTCCCTGCCAACCCTCCGCTTCTCCCAACAGCTCCAGGGGCACCAGAACCTGCCCTGAAGGCACAAAGGCTCCTTTTGGGAGCACCACGACCCACCCAGACTGTAGCACTGGAATTCCATCTCCTGGACAAGCTGGGAGAAGCAGGGAAGAAAACCAGGACCTTCCAGGTCAATTGGGGGCACCTCTTCATCCAACAGCAGCTCCAAGGAAGGTATTGAGTCAACACCTCACCAAAGACACAGGAAAACAAGTGCCAACACCTCAACAATCACTCCAGTTTTCAACTGATAAAGCAACAGTAAAGAAAAGCTTTTCAGACACTTGGGAAGAGTCCATCCCACTTTAACCAGTGTGTGGGACTCGTTCCCAGCCTCCTGAGGTTCATTTCCCACCTCACTGGGGCTGCAGTACACCTGGTTCTACACACACACACAGGGAGCTGCTGCTCCTGCATTCCAGTCTCCTGGTTCTCCTTGCAACTCCTCCAGCTGTTTGCCCAGCTCTCCAGTGCCCATTCCTTTGCCCACTGCACTTGTTCACAGCCCCAGGGCTCCCAGGGCCACCCTGGGCTCTCCCCTGCCCTGACACTCAGGGCCCTTTCCCAGCCTGACTCCATCCAGCACTGACCCAGCTGCTGCACCTGCAATTCTCCTGCTCCTGCCCTCCCTCTGCCTGCAAACACCCCTGCCAGCTCCTGCACCCCACCTCTTACCTCCCAGCAAAGCAGAGCTGCATCCTCCTGGATGCTCCAGCTGGATGCTGCTGGCTCTGGGCAGCTCCCACCCTTCAGCAGGGGATGCCAAAGGCAGCTCTGGGGACTGTCCCGAGGGCAGGGACACCCACTGTGGCTCACACCAACACTCAGCCATCTCAGGCCTGGGCTCTTCTGCCTGCAGGGCAACAAACAGCCAAGCAGGGACACTGGGACACTCCAAGGAAACAGGGACAACACGCTCAGGAGCCTGGCACACCACAGCCCCCAGACCTGCCCAGGCTCCAGCTGCTGCACAGACCTGTGGCCACACAGGACCCAAACCCACCCCCAGCACAGACAACCCTGGGCAGGTCAAGCTGCTCATTCCCAACCACAACCAAACATCCAGTGCCACTGTCTGCCAGCCCCTGCTCCCAGCAATCAATCACCTTTCCCATTTGCTTTCTTTACAGCTCCTTGCATTCACATTCTACTATCAAACCATGATCAGCAAATTTAGCTCTTACTAGAACCAATCCAGCTTGGCTCCCTAATTCTAGAGGATACTTGGTTTGCCTTACCAGGAGAGACTCTGGCTTAGGGGTAATTCTTACAGGTTCTGTCCTTGTCCATTTGCTTGGAATTCCACTGGCCCACACGACAGGAACAACTGCAGCTGCCACTTCAGTCGGGACCTTGCTGCTGACAGGAGTTATTATCCCTCTGTAAACACCAAACTGCTTCAATACAAACAATCCAGTGGACACTACAACTCCTTGGCACTTTCAGTGGAACCAGTGCAAGTCAGTTCCTAAGTTACACAAGGTTTTCTTCTAAAGTTGTAATTAATTAAGATATCAAAAAAACAACAACTGTGAGATAAGAGATCCCCCCTATAGATCTACTCTTAGGGAAAAGAACACCCCAAACCCCCCTCCCCAGTGCTGCAATAGCTCAGGTTCCCAAAAAGGCCCAGGGGCTGGGCTGGGCTTTTGGCTGCCCTGGAGCACAGGCAGGAACACGATGTCACCACCCCACGGGCACAGCTGAGAACCCAAAGAGCAGCCACACCAGCAGCTCCTGCCAGCCCTGCTGGGCTGGGCCTTGGGGAGGAAGGGCACTGGCCTTTCTTCCTGCCTAGGAGCAAAGAGCCTCCTTGCTGAGCACCTCTCCTGCCAAGGGCATCAGCTCAGATGGAAAGTTCAGCAAGGGCAACTTCCTGGAATGAGAAACATTCCTGTTCCCTGGACAATCTCTTTCCAACTGAACTCAGAAGTACACACAAAACTTCAGGTGTTACCTAAAATTTCTTACAAGAACCTCTGAGACTCAATTGATGAGTTTTAGAAGCCAGGCAATCTTTGATTCCTATGCTCTTGAACCATTCCAGCCCACCAGGGGCCCTGGCAATCAGCTCCCAAAGGGCACACAGAGGTGTCCCCACTGCAGATGATGGGAGGGGTCAGCAATACAAGAGGGTTCATTTTCCTTCCCTGCATTCCTGTTCCACATTCAGGGCATTTCCCAACACTTATCACCATACACACCTACCCTTAGAAGGTTTCCAAGGGGCTTCACTGAGGGCCTTCCCAGCTCTGCTCTGTCTGGAGCCCTCCAAGTCCTCAGGGCCTGCCTGAGGAACCTCAAGGCAACTCACCTGCTTACACAGCAACTTGGTGCTGCTTGGCTGCTGCCTCACTTCCCTTCTTCTTTGTTTCTTCACCTCCTTTGGTTGGTCCCTTTCAATCCCTGGGCTCAGCTCTGGGCACTTTCCAGGCTCCATCCCACTGCAAAAAGGATTAGCTCTTGTTACATCTCAACACTCACATATCATTCCCCCTTTTGCCTTGACACTGGGCCATCAGGCCAGGGTCTCCTTATTTAAAGCACAGTTTGACTCCTCAGTGACAACAACTGACAGCCCTGAATCCTAACACAGGCTGAGACACAAACACGGGTGGGAACTCTGAAGGATCCACTTGGTTCTGCTCACCAACCAAAAGGAGCTTTCTGAACTCAAGGAGAACAGACCCCAGGTCCTTTTACTGCAATTTTACCTGCTATCAATGTGACCCACCAGACCTGCAAAGGCCCTTCCCACTTCCCCTGCAGGGCTGGCAGTGCCACCACTGGACACGGCCCCAGGGGCTGGGCAGGAACGGAGGGGCTGGGGCGTCCAATCCATCGGCCCAGGCGGCACCAGGAGTTCCTGCAGTTCCTGAGGGGAGAGCCTCAAGCCAACAAAGGATTAGGAAAAGGATCATTTCAAACTTCAATAGGTATATCCCCTGGAAGATGGGGAGTTGGACAAGGCCTACTGGGGCAACAAGGACACACTCAAGGCTATCTATTCAAAGGATCTACCAGCACTCAAAAGCTGTCACTGTCCTTCTGTCAGGGGGAACTCAGCAAACTCTCTTTGCCAAGAGCCTCCAGGAGGATTTCCAGCTTTTGGGGCTCCCTTTTAATTATTTTTCCCATCCCTGTAGCTGGGACTATCACCTGCCCTGCAGGGGGAACAGCCCACAAAGTTCACTTGCAGGGATGCCATTAACTCAAAGTCCCTTCTCAGGGGGGTCACTGCACACCTTGGCCTTTGTTTGCCCTCCCAAGCAAAGATGCTTCCAACAGTTCTGACACATCTGGCAGACCCAGAGCTCTCCTCAGGGAATGCTTCAGCTGCTTAAAGGCTGCCCTTGCACCATCTAGCCAAGGCAGCAAATGCTTACAGGCTCTTGGAAAAGTTGCCCTAACAGTCTTCCCACACATGCAGAGGGAGCAATCCAGAGTCCAGCCCGTCCCACCATTCCCAGCAAGGCAGTTCAGGAGCTGTTTGGGGCTCAGGAGGAGACACGGGGCTTCTCTTCTTCCTTCCTGCTTTCCAGATTTTCTCCTTCCAAAGCAAAGCTTTCTTGGCTTTCCTTGCTCAAGGACATGCAGCAAAGGCCATCTTTGCAATCCAGTACTGGAAACTCCTCGAGGTTGTCATTCAAGGTGCTTCTCTCAGGTCCTGCACTAATCAATCCCCTTGGCCATTGCTTTTCTTGGCAGGTTCTTGCATTCACGTCCTACAAGCAAACCAGGAGGAGCAAATTCAGCTGTTCCTGCAACCAATCCAAGCTGCCATTCTGATTTTAAAGGATACTGGCTTGGCCTTACCAGGAGAGATCCCACACCAGGGGTAATACCTACAGGTTCTGCCCTCTTCCACTCTCCTGCAGTTCCACTGGCCCACACCACAGGAACAACTGCAGCTGCCACTTCAGTCGGGGCCTTGCTGCTGACAGGAGTTATTCCCTGCACAACAAGAGCTGCTGCTTGGACACATTGAGTTTCACCAATTACAGTTTCAATATCCCCTGTTTTCCATTTCATTTCTGCCTCAAGTTTTTCAGGAAGTCTCTTCCTAGCACAGGTTTGGGGGAGTTTGGCAAATAGAGAAACTGAGGAACTACCCAATGTTTTCCAGTTTAACCCCTGTCACACCAATCACCTTAACAGTGCCAGTCCTTCATTCTCCCTCTCTTGGGTTAAGGACTGAGGAAGTTGGACCTGTGTCTGAGCAGGACAGGTGCAAACCAAATGCTGGGGACTGGAACACACACCTGGCACTCCTGCAGCTCTCACAGTCACATTCCAGAGAAAACAGCCAATTGGACCCTCACCGCTCATTTCTTCATCCCAATCCCACACTTCTTTGGCACTTGGAGCACCACTTTTATCACCCAATTGCAGCCCATTAGAGAGCTCCATGTCTAGCAGGGACAGGGACCCCTGGGATACTCTCAGCAATGCCTGAATCCAGTGCAGGGACCTTGCTTTGAGCTCCCCAGGGCCGGGCACCCCGAGGATCTCCCCGAAGAATCCTTTCGGTGCGCGCTGGAGTCCTCGGGGTGCCCCAACCCGGGGGGCACCCACAGCACTGTCCCTCCAGGGGGCCAAGTTGGTCCTAAACTGCAGGGGGATCTTGCCTGTGTCCCAGACTGGTCCGGGGATCTGAGGCCCTTCCCGAGAAAATCTCGGTGCCGGCGTGAAGGGCCAGAGATCCCTTGGAGCCACGGGAGAGCAGGCACAGAGTCCCTCCTGGGGGGCAATTCTGCTGCCTGAAATCAGCTCTTCAAAGAAACCTCTAAGACTCAGCTGGTGAGTTTTAGAAGCCAGGCATTCCTACACACCGTAAGATATTTTAAGAGTTTACTGAGTGAAAAAGCATAAAGCTTTTATCAGGGACATCTGACCTCCCACAGACAGCTCCTTTCCCCTTTCACTACAAAATTACTTCCATGGTATCATTTAATACCAAGTGCCCAGGAACCCCAGACTGTGCTTTCCAGAACAGAAAATAAGCAGAGGGAAGGAGCTTTGCACAAGTGTAACAGGCTCCAGAACACACCTGACTTTAGTTCTACTCTTTGTGTTCAAATACAGCAGACAAAAGCTCCAGCAGGAGAGCTGGCACATGACCCATGGAACCCTGAAAGTCCCTCTCACGAGGGCTGGAGAAAAATCACAGCTGTGCGAGTCCCTTGTGCCTGCAGATGCCTGGGGATCCTCTCCATCCACCTCGTGCTCTCCCATCAGCAGAAAGGGTGACCTCAGGGACACGGTGGCACTCGACATCCTGCTGAGAGAGCAAGGAAACCTTTAGCATAAAGGGGAGTTGGAATCTAAAACTTCCTTTGCTGGGAGCTTTGTGCAACCAAGAAGGGGAAAATTTGCATCTCCTTTGGTACAGGTGTCAACAGGGGCTGAGACTTTTTGCCTTTTTCAGACAACTGTGCCCTTTTTGGCTCCCTGGCAGCTCCAATGGCACCAGAACCCCCTTCCTGCACACCCACGGCTGTCACACACAGGCACCCACACACCTTTGCTCCAGCCCACACGGGGCCAACATTTCCTCACCCTGCACATCCCAAGGGCAGTAGTTTTGCTAGAGAGCACAGTGTGATAACCTGAGAAAATGATTCGAGCTGATTAAGAGAACACAGTGTAAGGTCAATATGACCTGAAGAGAAAAGAAAAACAAGCCATAAAACTTAATTGGGCCCCCGCTGCCCAGCACAAGGCGCCCCTAGACGCCCCCCGGCTCCCCCGGTCACAAACCCAGCGGCCAAGGCGCTCTCCCCTCCGCAGCCCGGGCAGCAGCGGGGCCGCACCCTCAGCCCTCACACGCGACCGCCCGCACCCGCCCCGCCGGCCCTTTATACCGCGGCCCGGCAGCGCTGCCCAATCAGCGCTCGAGCGCCGCCGCCCAATCCCAGCCCGCCCGGCCCTGCGGCCCCGCCCGCTCACCCGGCCCCGCCCCTCGGCGCGGCCCCGCCCCCCTTTCCCTCAGCGCGGCTCCCGCCGCCGCCGCCGCAGCCCCGGCGGGCGCTGCTGGGGCCGGGGAAGGGCGGGTGGGAGCTCCGCGGTCACGGCCCGGCCGGGAGCTCTCCCGGGATAAGGGGAGCGAGGCGGGCAGCGGGGACGGCGGCGCTCTTGGGGGCGGGCAGGGCAGGGCCGGGCGGCGGGGCCGGCGCGAGCCGGGGGGCGGGTCGAGGGGCGGGGCCGGGCGGGTCGTGGGGCGGGGCTGGGCGGGCCTAGGGGCGGGCCTAGGGGCGGGCCTAGGGGCGGGCCTAGGGGCGGGCCTGGGGGCGGGCCTGGGCGGGTGGAGGGGCGGGTCCGGCGCGATCCCGCGGCGCTTCGCTCTGGGCTCTGGGGCTGCTCCGGGCGGGTTTTGGGGTACTGCGCACACCCTGCCCTGGTCACAGCCCCGCCCCAGCTCGCTGCGCTCCCCGCACCCCTCGCTCAGCTCCGCGGGGATTTGTGCCTCCTCCGAAGGTGGCAAATGTCCGCAAAGCCAGTCGGGAAGCCAGAGAGCTGCAGCCCCCGGGCCCCGCCGCGGCTTCCCCGCCCTCCCCCGGCCCCGCCGCTGGCCCTGATCGGGCACCGCCCCTCGCGCACAATTTTAACATTAGAGAGCCAAGTTTAATCCAGAGCCTGCAAGCTCCCAAGTGCAGGGCATGGCCACAGACTTGTTATTTTTCTCTTTTTAATGACCGCGTTGCCAAAGTGGGGGAAACACAATCAGCATCACCTAAACAGCATCACAGCATCTCCAGGGCACGGAGGGACCGCCGAGAGGGGGCTGCCCTCGCCGGTGCCTGCTGCCGCCCACGAACCTGCCGCCCGCGCCCTACGCCGCCGATCGCCCCGCCCTGTCCCCACAGCGGGAAGCGGCGCGGCGAGACGGCGCTGCGGGCGCGGGGCGGGGATCCGGGTCGGGGCGGAGGTCAGGGAACAGGTAGGACGGCTCTCTGAAGCAAGGGGGCCTCTCACCGCCATCTTTAGTGTGGTTTCGACTAAGTTCCGGTCCTGGCGGCGCCATCTTTACTGTGGGTTAGGGACGAACTTCCGGGCTGGGGCCGCCATCTTTTTGTACGGCCTTGGAGGACTTCCGGTCCTGGCGCCGCCATCTTTCTTTCTGGGCAGCCTCGGACGACTTTCGGTCCGAGAGGGCGCCATCTTTGGTGGTGCGCCGTCGAAAACAGTCCGGTCGGTCTCTACTTCCGGTACCCGACTTTATCCGAATTAGCGTCCCTCGCTAATTTCTGCGCTTTCGCCCCAAAAATCTTCACGTTATTCCCCCCACGCACACCCTGGGAGAGACGGAAGACCACAAGTCCCGCCGTTCCGCCGGAATCGGCTCTTAAGTTGAGCGGGGAGCGCTGCAGCGGCACGAGAACCACTGCGCATGCGTCGCCGGTCCCCCTCCCGGCCGCCCTTAATTACCGTGTCATCGCCGGCGTCTTGCCAAGGACTGCGCATGCGCCGGCGTCGCCACCTTGGCTCCCCCCCCCCGACGTTCCGGCTCCCCTCTCTCACTGCGCGCGCCTCGCCCGCTGTTCCGGGGCCCCTCCCTGACGTTTCGCGGCTCCCCCTCCGCTTTTGCGGCTCCCTGGGGTTCCCCCACCCACGTTTTGGGGTCCCCTTCTCACAGTTTAGGGGTGACCCCCAAGTTACGGGGCGGAGGGCGGGGCCGGGGGGGCGGGGAGTAAACGGGGACCCAGGAAGGGTTTTTTTTCTCTTTTATTTAATTTTATTTCCTTTTTAGTTTTCTTGCCTTTTTTTTTAATGTTCTTTTCTATTTTTTTCTTTATTTCGTTTATTTTTTGTTCTCTTTATTTTTCACTTTCTTTTCTTTCTCCTTTGGTTTTTATTTTTTTATTTCTTATTCTTCCAGAGAGGGAAACACTGCAGCTCCTCTGGGCCAGAGAAAGGCTCCCCTGCCCTTCCCTTAAACACAACGCCTGCAATGAGTACCCTGCAAGCCCGCTCTGCTCCTGCCAGGCACTGGGGCTCACCCAGGGGGGCTTTGCCAGCACCCAATGGAAATTAAAATTACAGCCTGGGCAAAGGCACTTCCAGCAGGACCGCTCCTGGCCAAGGCCACCGGGCTGTGCAAGTCAGACCGCTGACCACCCGGGGGGATTTTCAGGGGGATACTTCCAGCTTTTATTCCCCAGAAACTCCAGTTCTTCCTGGCCCCGCTTGCTTCAGTCCTCCCCTGTTGGAAGAGGTCACACAGTCTTTCTGGGGGCCAGATTGCCAAAGCCCGGCCGGTCCATTCCCTCCACACCCCCGCGCTCAGGGGCCGAGGGGCAGCCCTGCCCCGCACAGACCCCGGGCTCGCCTTCAGCCCGTCTGTGCCAGGGCTGGAGCGATCCTGCCATCGGCCCGTGGCCACGAGGGGCACAGAAAGCCCAGGGCCAACAGCAGCTCCAGGCAGCTGCAGGCAGAGGTTATCCCTTCCCAGCTTTTTGGCAGTGGGGGGAAGGTGCCTTTCCCCGGCCGGCAGCGGCATCGTCCCCGCCGCAGAGCCCGCCCCGATCCTGGGCCGCCTTGGAGACAATTCCCCGTCCCAGCCCGCCTCCTGCAGAAAACTGTTCGGGTTGAATGCGTTCTTTGTTGTATTTTTAAATGTTTATTTTGTCGTTAAACTTCGTTATTATTCTCTCGAAAGCCCGGGGAAGGCGGCCACCCCCCCCCATCCCCACCGCACCCCCCGCCCCGGCCGGTCCCCGCCCCTGCCCTGCCCGGCGGCCCCGAGCGCCTCAGGCCCGGCCCGGCCAACGCCTCGCTCTGCGCAGGCGCCGCTTCCCAGCCCGCCCCGAGCGCCGGGCGCTGCCTCGCAGTCGCCGCCTGGCGGACACGGCCGGGAGCGGCACTGCAGCCGCGCCCCCCCCTTGCGAGACCCGCGGCGCCTTTCGCGAGGACGGGCCTTTCTTCCCGAAAACCTGCCCTTCCCTAGGAAAAGCCGGGCAATTCACAGAGTTGCTGGTTTTATCCCGGCTTCCCAAAGGACTTCTCTCTCCCGGCGCGGCGGCAGCGGCGGCAGCAGCAGCAACGCTCCCCGGGAAGCCCTGACCGAGGCTGGGAATTGACACACAACAAGCCAAGAGCATGAACTCGGCCCCCAAACACTCCCCAACAGACCAATTTACAGTCACCTTTGCCTCCTCCCCCCCGCGCAGGCCCAGGCTTTGGGATTCCAAGGCAAAGCCCGAGAGGCCCAGAGAGCAGCAGCCCCTCAGCCCCAGCACGGCCTCCCCCGGGCTCCCCCGGCCGGGAACCGGCCCAGCCAGCCCCTGCTGTGCAGCACAGCAGGCGGGGGGATGACTTTTGGGACCCCTCCCTGGCCGCTGCAGAACAATGCAGGCATCGGGGCCAAGTCTTGCCCGGCCCCCGGGCACTGCAGACAGTTCAGCAGCAGCAGCAGCAGCAGCAGCAGCAGCAGCAGCGGGCTGTTCTGCCTCTTGCTCCCCTCTCATTTGGAACCGAACGGTGAGGAACAAGCCCCGGGCACAATCGGCACCGAGCAGCAAGGCCTGGGCTCGCCAGTGGCCCGGGCCTGCCTAGTCCTGGCTCTGGGCTTCCTTTGCTTTCTTCCGCCGCAATTCTCCTGCCCCGGCAAGCGTTCAAAGACAGACTGCCCGCTGAGACGTGCCCCGAAACAGCCATCAGTTCCCAGGCCAGAAAATCTCAGCGCCACACTTGGAAACCCTGCCGCGAGGCCCCCGGCGAAGCCAAGGGGAGCTGGGATTCCCTGGAGTCCCAGGGAACCGAGGGGAAGGTGGCAAAGGGGCAGAGAGCAACCCCCCCCCCCCCAGCTGCTTCTGCCTGCAACCCCTCCGGCAGGCGCAGCTGCCCTGGGATTTCATGCCCCCTGTGTCTCTTGCGAGCTCAACGAGCGAACAAAGGGGTCCTGCAAGATCCGCTTCCTCTGTCCCTGAGGCAGCACAGACCCTCCCCGCGGGGGGGGGGGGCGATGCCAGGGCACATCCGAGCCCGGCCCTGCCGCTCTCGCCGCCCCTTCTCCTGGCGGCGGCACGCGGGTGCGAGTGTCTCCGCAGAGGCGAGAAAGCTGCCCGTCGCTTCCCCTGCCTGCAGGCCCCGCTGGCCGCGGGAGAGGCAGAAGAGCGGCCGCCGCCCCCCCGCCGGGCCCCCGCTTACCCCGGCGACGATCTCCTGCAGAGCCCGACGTCGGATCTGCCGCCGTGGGTCGCTTCTGGGGGGGGGAGGCCCAGATGCTTCTCCGAGTGTGAGACTTGCATATCCCTGGCCAGCTGAGTTGCTACAGCAGGAAAACTTGGCCAGGACAGAAAATCTGTGCTTCCCTGGGGCAGGAATAAAGGCTCTGCAATGGGATGCTGCAGTGAGTCCAAGCGCTGCCTTTACTGCAGTGTCCTGCAGGCGTTCCTCACCCCCCCCCTCGTTTTAGGCCAGTCTCCAAACCCACAGCCCACTCTCACCTTTGGAGAGCCTCAGGGGGGTCCCTGCTGCTGAGAAGGGCACGGTTTGGGGTCCCCTTCTCACATTTTAGGGTTGATCTCCCAAGTTACGGTTAGGAGGGGGGGGGGGGGGGAAGTAAACGGCGTGCTCCTGAAAGGTTTTCTTTTTTTTCTTTCCTCTCATATTTCACTTTTCATTTTATTTCCTTTTTAGTTTTCTTGCTTTTAATTTTTTAAAAATTTCTTTTGTATTTTATATTTCTTTCTTTATTTCGTTTATTTTTTATTCTCTATTTTTCATTTTCTCTCCCAGTGCTCCCCAGTAACAGCCAGTGCTCCCCAACAACCCCCAGCAACACCCAGTGCACCCCACTAACACCCAGTGCGCCTCAACAAACCCCAGTAACACCCAGTGCACCCCAAAACCTGACCCAAAACTGACCCGAATTCACCCCAAAAACTGACACCAAAAACTGACCCAAAACTGAACCAAATCACCCTTAAAAATTTATCCAAAGCTCACCCAAATCACCCCAAAAACTGACAAAAAACTGACCCCAAACACTCCAAAACCTGACCCCAAACCAGCCCAAATCACCCCAAAAACTGCAAAAACTGACTCAAAAACTAATATTCACTCCAAAAATTGATCCAGAACTGACACAAAACTGGCCCAAATCACCCCAAAAAATGACCCAAAACAGACCCAAATCTACCCAAAAAATGTCCAGAAACTCACCCAAATCTCTCCAAAAAATGCTCAGAAACTGACCCAAATCTCTGCAAAAAATGATCAGAAACTCACCCAAATCACCCCAAAATATGACCCAAAACTCACCCAAATCTCCCCAAAAAATGACCAGAAACTGACCCAAATCACCCCAAAAAAAGACCAAAAACTGACTCAAATCACCCCAAAAAATGATCCCAAAATTCACCCAAATCACCCCAAAAAATGACCAGAAACTGACCCAGATCACCCCAAAAAATGCCCCAAAACTGACCCAAAATTACCCCAAAAATGACCAGAAAAAGAGCCAAATTACCCCCAAAATGACCAGAAACTCACACAAATGTCCCCAAAAAATGACCCAACACTGACCCAAATCAACTCAAAAAATGACCCAAAACTGACCCAAATCACCCCAAAAAATTACCAGAAACTGACCCAAATCACCCCAAAAAATTACCAGAAACTGACCCAAATCACGCAAAAAAAATGACCAGAAACTGACTCAAACCACCCCAAAAAATGACTGAAAACTATAGAGACTCCAGACCCATTATAGGGACCCCAGAGCCCCTATTGAGACCCCAGAGCCCCTATAGGGACTCCAGACCTATTATAGAGACCCCAGATCCCCTATAGGGACCCCAGAGCCCCTATAGAGGTTGCACTGTCACTGCCCCCAATCCAGTCTGCCATTCTGATTTTAAAGGATACTGGCTTGGCCTTACCAGGAGAGATCCCACACCAGGGGTAATACCTACAGGTTCTGCCCTCTTCCACTCTCCTGCAGTTCCACTGGCCCACACCACAGGAACAGCTGCAGCTGCCACTTCAGTGGGGACCTTGCTGCTGACAGGAGTTATTCCCTGCACAACAGGAGCTGGCACAATGTGCCCTGAAAGATCTGAACGCCATGCTGAAAAAAGAGAATTTTCTTTTGAAAAAGTAATTTTATTTTGTATTTTCTACAGAGTTCCCAGCGAAACTTTCCCGTTACTGAAGGGAAAAAACACAGGTCAGGCAAAGCTTATCCAGCAGTAGTGAAACACACCCTTGACAGTGCAGTTGCACCTGTCCTTGGAACTCCACTACAGTTTTGACACTTCATCTTTGCACTGACAAAAAACTGCAGTGTTGAAAGAGTGCTGAGATAAAGAAGGATACATTAAGTGGACAAGAGGGACACACAAATAAAATAAATAAAGAGCATTTGTAAAACTTTCCATATACAAAATAACTTCTGCTGGAGGGTGATTTTCAAATTTTTTTTAATTGACAGCCTGAACAAAGATAAACCTCTCACCAGAAATCATTTGAAAATGCTGTTCTCACAAGCAATAACAGGGCACTAATCAAACCAGTGCCTGACCACCCCTTCCATGGAGAAATTCTTCCTGCTGTACAGCCTGAACCTGCTCTGGTACAGCTTGAGGCTATGACTTCTCCTGGTGCTCGTTACCTGGGAGAAGAGGCTGATCCCCACCTGGAAACAACCTCCTTTCAGGTAGAAAACTCAGAGATTATTTGAACTATGTTCTAGAATACTTGTCAGGAACAAGTCGCCCAGATGCTTCTCCGAGTGTGAGACTTGCATATCCCTGGCCAGCTGAGTTGCTACAGCAGGAAAACTTGGCCAGGACAGAAAATCTGTGCTTTTGAGGAAATCCCAGCTATGAACTCAGCAGTCCTGGGTTGGGTTCTCACGAGGGAGGTTCTCACTGAGCTCCAAAAAGCTGACTTCCAAAGAATAAGACAATGAAAATGAACAGACAGACGGGGTGAGCTGGCATGTCACACCCAGGAGATGCACGGCTAAGCTGCATTACCTTTTAGGGGGTCAGACTGATTTGCCCTCCTCGCTGCACTACCCAAGAACCCAGGGCAAGAAGCTCAGCTTTACAATGAAGAATGTTACACCTCTAACCCTCCCTCCATCAGTCCCTGTAAGGACAGAGAGAACAATTAACAGTTCGTGCTGCTTCCAAAATCTCGTATAAAAATAGATCACTGTGTCCTTCTGGCAGTCTGGAAAACCTGCAAATCCCTCCTCCTTCATCTCTCCATTTCCACAGGAACAGTCAGGTCCCATTGCCAAGACTCACGTGTTGGTCACGTTCCCAGAGCAATGAAGTTGGTCCTCTCTCCCCTTGGAATCCATTCCATTGCCATCCTCCTGGTTTGGATCGGGTCACAGTTTCTTTTCTGTCCCGAGGCAACGCCCGGGCAGTGCCACCCAAGCGCGGGTGTGAGGAGAGCCCTGCCCAGCCCCTGCCCCAAACCCCAGCGCTGCCCTCCCGGGGTTATCTGCACACACACGACTCCACCGTCATGTTGGGGTACACCTTGAGCACCACGTTCCTGTTCTCATCCAAGAACAGGATGCTGAGGGAGGACATTCTGTCAGGAACGCAGCAGGGCTCGGGGACGCCGGGCACGACTCCGACGGCGCGCACGATGCTCTGGATGGTGGCGTGGTTGGACGGCTTCAGGGCCTGCGGGAGACACACAGGGCACAGCAGGTTACTGCACCCACAGTCAGGGCTTAAAGAAAGCAAATAATTACCTCCAAACACTGTCAAAGAAGGCAATTCCCACAAGGTGAGCCACCACAGGAACCTGTGATGAGAGCAGATGGCAACAACAAGAACCAGGCCTGGTAAGGCAGACCCGGGTAATGGACCCCAACAAAGATTCCCAGTGTGGAAAACCGTGAGAAAGGAAAGCGTTAATCCCAGGTCTAAACCAAGGGGAAGGTTTGAAATCAGCACATGGGACAAAACTCCACTGTCCAAGCTGTGGGGAAGGAAACAACTGGCCGTGCCAAGCTGTGGGAACACCTGAGACAGCCCGTGGATATCCAGGGCTGGGACTGTACAGAAGTGGTGCCCTGGAAACACGACTGGGGTCCCTCAGCACCGAGGAGACCGGCGGAAGGGCCGGCAGGACGCCATCAGAATCCATGTGGTGGTGATACCTTCATCTTTTTACTTCATCTGTCTCATTCTCTCTCTCCCTACCTCATATTTACTGTTAAATAAAATCTGCACTATTGACCTTGGCATATGGTCTCGTTGGCACCCTTAATTCAGGCAGAGGCAGCTTTTAATAATTGGATCCTAACAGCCCTACATGACATTGTCCCTGTGGCACGTTCACAACACCAGAATATACTAAGATGCTCATAAAAATAAAGACAAACACATAGAAATGCAAAATACAAAGTTCTACCTCTGACCCACCAAATCCTTCCAGATCCAAATACCTGTACAGAAGATAGGTGGTTCCTCCTCCCTGGGTTCCTCAAGGCCCTGAAATGCCATCTATATTTTGGAACTAACTGCTCAGGCTTCCCTGGGGCAGGAATAAAGGCTCTGCAATGGGATGCTGCAGTGAGTCCAAGCGCTGCCTTTACTGCAGTGTCCTGCAGGCGTTCCTCACCCCCCCCCCCTCATTTTAGGCCAGTCTCCAAACCCACAGCCCACTCTCACCTTTGGAGAGCCTCAGGGGGGTCCCTGCTGCTGAGAAGGGCACGGTACATTTGGAGCCTAGTTCATCCACCTGGGTCACAGGGCCGGGAGCACATCAGCCTTTCCTGGTACTCACATGCCAACTCATGCAAACCAGAGGACACTCCGAAAGCCAGCGGGCCAGGATCCCCTCGCTCTGTCACAGGAGTAACTCGCCTGACTCTTCTGCAACCCAGGGCTCCCCGCCCCTGTGCCAGCCCTGCCTCCCGAGGCGCGTGCTCTTCCTGCAGGGTGCCGTGCCCACCGACTGTGGCGTGGGCCTGGCACGTGGGCCTGGCAGCACAGGCTCCTTTGGGGCACAACTGCTGGCTAATCAGCAATTTTCTGGATCTGGCTTGTTTTATGTTTATTAAACCGGTTAATAACAAGTTCACACATCGTAAGCACTATTCAGGAAATGTTTTATGGCAATTTGGGTTCTGGACAAAAAACTAACACCAGGTCGTATTTTTTCAATTCCCTTTGCATGCCTGTCTGTTTGCTGGATGTCCTAAGCACTGCCCCGTGCAGCAGGAGACAGAGACACCACTCGGGTCCTAGAGCCAAACACACGATGGGACTGGCTGCCTGTACTGCCTCAGGAAAGGAAAGGCACCGTTTACAGTGCAAAGGAATCCCTAAAGCTCGTACCTTCGGGATGGGAAACTGGCATTCCCCCGAGCAGTAATAGGCCTCGAAGGACTTGGGGGAAATGATCCACTCGCTCCAGCCGATGTCTGCAAAGTCCACCCTGAGGTAGCGCCGGGCGCAGGACCTGGGCTCGTTCCACTGCTTCCTCCTCGCCTTCTGCAGCGTCCGCTCATCGAACTGCAGAGTCTGCCTCTGCTGGCCAGGAGGCTTCCTTGGCTTTTTCTTACTCCTGGCCCTCTCTGCTAACTGCGGCTGGAAGGTTTTGTAGGGTTTCCTGCCTCCCCATCTCTCCTTCTGGCCATAGGGGTACTCAGCCCCCGGCAGCTCGTTGTTCTGCAACGGCAACAGGGTGTCTGCAGAGCGTGTCCTCCGGCGCCTCCCGAGGCTGCTCCTCGCCCGGCCGTCTGCCTTGGCAAAGGCTCCTGCCAGAGGGTGACGGTGCCCTCGCAGAGTGGAGACCACGCTCTCTGGTTCTGAGATGGCGGAGTCGTTGGCATAGATCAGGATGTAGGGTTCACAGCAAGGAGGTGCCCTCTCCCAGGGCTGGTGGCTCCTCAGAGCCATTTTGACACCGATCAGCAGCTCGTGGTTTCGCTTCGCTTCATGCAGGAGCCCAGTGATGTCCTCCCACTGCCAGGAAAGGACGGCCTGGGAAGCAGTGGAGACGTTGATTAGGAAATGTCCCAGGCTCCGAGGCTGGTTCCCAACAGAAGGAAAGGTCCAAACCGACAGACATATGTGAATGTCGGGTCTCCTCTGGCTGTGATGAGAGCAGCTGCTGGGCTGGGAGGAGTTCCACTTGACCCGCAGCAGATCTCCAATGTAATAATACACCGAGGCCGACAGGACGTTCTCAGACTCCGTGAGTGACGTCAAGTTAAAAACGTACATCTCCTGCCCTTCCGGCCTCCCTAGAAAAACAAACACTTAGATAAGAATATGGACATGTAAAAAAGTCCTGGAGCAGACACAGAGGCTGATGTGACAGCCTATGGACATTTACCAAAGTCCTGGGGCAGACACAGAGGCTGATGTGACAGCCTCCTGGCCAGATCAGACACTGACTGCGCTTTGAGTTTCCCTTGAGAATAACCAATGACACAGGGTCCATGAAATCATTCCACCCAGGACACTTCTTCATTTTTCATGCCAGAGCCAGAGGGAAACAGGTGGGGGACTCCTTTAACCCTCACAGAGTGCAGCAGAAGGGGGGGAGGATTTAATTTTTGTTTTAAAATGTCCTGGTTGGGCTGCAGGTAAGTCCACCCTTCAGAGCGAGAGAAACACACATCCCAATGTCAAGCTGCCAAAGCAGGCTGCATGGAAAAGTCAAATCTAGGAGAGCCAAGGGACACTGCAGTCCCCAAAGGGCTAGGAACAACCCAACATGTTAGAAAAACAAGGGCATTCCAAATTCAATGCTTTTTGGACACCACAGCACGTCAAAGCCCTCCTCGGAGGCTGCAAAGGAGTTCTAGTTTACAGAATTCTGCAAGGGAGTTTTTCTCTGCCAGTATTTGGGGGGGGGAGTGTTTGTTTGTTTGTTTGTTTGTTTTCCAAGCAATGACAAGCACGGAGATTGCCCTGGACTAGGGATGAACAGACGAACAGCCTCACCAGTCTCACCCTCACAACACTGGGGAAGTCCCTGCCCAAGCAAGCAAGAACACGATTTCCAGCACTGATCTGTCAAAGACTTTGACAGCTTCATGTTCCATGTGACATTCTGTGTGACATCCCAGCTGCTGATGCCATTTGGCTAAGTCCAACATATTCCCCCTGTGCTGCCCCATTCCCACCCCAACAATCCCAGCAGCCTCCTCTTCTAAACACTTTTTGGTCATGAATATTTCAACCCATCCATTAAACCAGCAGGAACCGGTCCCATCCCACTAGAAAGACAGAGCCCTTCTCCCCAGATTATCAGATGCATTGCTTCATGGAATTATGGGAAAACAACACACGTTTTCCTCAGTGAAACAGGGCCAAAGCAGTGCAAAGGCCAAACCATTTACAGAGGACACCCTTGTTTACACATTCAGCCCAACCTGAGGGCAGAGCACAGAGGGAAGTTCCCAGGAGCTGAAGGCTGATGTCCCAAATCCATCCAGTTTCCAGCTGTTCCATAGTTCCAGGCTAGAACTATGCTAGATAGGAACTAGATTTCCTTCCAATTCCATCCTGCTTTTAATCCCTCAAACCAAAACTGGCTGTTGGTTACACTGGTGCTGAGCACACACGAGGACCTGACATCTGCTTTGTTTATAATCACCAATGGAATAAGGTTAAGGCATAATTTGTCAGAGCACTGAGTACATCAGCCTTAGGAACCAGCATGTGTGGGGTCCCATGAGCACCTGTTAAAGAAGTTATTATTTAAACCATTGCTGTAACTTGAATGACAAGTTTGGATTTTAGTTTTTAGTAAGAATTCCACTTAACAAACCCTGCCTGTTCTGAAGTGGAACACTGCAGCACAAAACCAAAGGAGCTGCTGTTTTTGTAAAGAAATTCCAGAGGGCATGGGACAGACACACGAGGAGTCCAAAGTTCTGGTTCAAAGCCCAACTCCAGCAGCCACTCCCAGCCTGTAACCCCATGCCCAGAGAAAGCACTTGCAGCAGATGGTGCTGTTTTCCTACAAAAAGACCTCCAAGCTCCAGCAGCTCTGAGTTCTCAGATCTTTCATCAGCAAAATCATCTCGTGGCCAGCACAGACACCCACGGATTCAACGGCTTCCATCCCAAAAAACCCAACGGCGGGCCCTGGGTTTCCATCCCAACTTGGGAATATACTGTGCCAAGGAGGTCCCTCGTGCCACACGGACACCCGGCTCCGGATGGGAATGTGAAACAAGCGTTCCCCGGGCTTCAAAATGACAGGCATGGCAAGAAAGAGTCAGCTTAAAAATACCTATAAATGCGCCTTTTCCTCAGGAACATTTCCTTTCCTTTAAACCAAACTTTGCCCTTGAGCTCTGAGGACAGATTCTGCTGGACATCTTTCTGGAGGGTAAGATTTAGGAAGAAAAAAAAGCCAAGAAAAAAGTACGTGCAACAGAGCCACACAGCCGCTACCTTCCACACACCACGGGGCCAGATCTGAGCAGACAGCTCTGCTCCCCCCACCCCGTGCTGCCGCCAGCCTGACGAGGACTTTTGGAGACCAAGCTCTGCGTGGCAGAGCTCTTTGGAACTGCACCAGGTAGGACGCCCGTGTGTGGAGACAGACATGGCCAGCACGGACACATTCCTGTCACAGGGGGCACTTCAAGGCATCACTAAGCTGGAGTGAGCCTGTTAACATGTGGTGTATTTATCTTTATAGAGGATGCCCTGACATTTTTATGGACTGCCAAATCTATCCCACGGGTGAAAAAGGATGCAGTACCGAGGACTGTGTAGTTATACAGTCACCATGAGCCACCATTTCAATAAGATACTGAAAAGCGGTGCCCTCGTGCCAGGGCACCATGAAGAACGTAGCAGTGTTTCCGCTGTGAAATCTGTTTTTTTCTGAGTTCACAGCCCAGCTACAAAAGTTCACTCGGAGCTGGAAATGGGAACAAGTTCCCAAAGAGGAACACAAATTTGGAAGCCAGATTTTCTCTTTTCTCCCACCTTCGCTCTCACTCAACTGCTGCTTCCCAGTTACCAACTCCTGTACTGCCAAGAGAAAGGTATAGGATGTGGTTCTCTGCTTTGAAAGAGCACAGGACCCGCTGCCAAACTAGTTCTACTAATTCCTTCAGCAAAGCAGGTAAGGTCACATGAGCTAGCAACTTGATCTAAAACAGCAGCAAGCCCACCACTGTGATTAAAGCCAGCAGCTGCTCCAATAAAGAACTCCTCTGGAAGCAGCAATGGTGCATGCTGAGGATCTGACTTACGTGTGCACTTCACGATATGAAAACCACCAACCTGCACACTGCACATGGGAAGTGTGCTACACGGTGGGCACAGCAACTGTCTTCTACATGTTTGAAGAGGAAAGACCAGAGCAGGGGGAAAACCAACCCCAACCTCTAAGTGGAAGCTAGCACAAGCCAAGCAAGTTAAGGGGGTACAACAAAATAACCCCAAACCAAGGTAAAACCCAGCCAAAAAAAAAGCTTAAACCAAAAGCAAACCCCAAACCCCCCCGCTCTCACTGTCTCCCGACTGACTGTTTTTAAGGCTCTCGTTGCAGAAGAGCCCTGCTGTCACTGGTGCTCAGAGGGGCCAGCATTTGGCCCAGACTGGCCCCTGCAGGCTCATGGCAGCTGCTGAGGTGCTGCCTGCCCCGTGCACTGCTCCCTTTGCCCGCTGTGCGTGGGCACCTCACACCACAACAAAGCCACGAAAGGCCTTTCCAAAGGGAGGAGAACACAGTTGTTCTAAAACCACAAGAATTGGCCTAGGGACAGGGGTAATAGCTGAAGTTACTTGAAATTCAGTCAATAAAAAAGAGTTTAAAGTAATATCTCTTACTATAACATCATTAGAGGGACCTTCCAACCCGAGTCGAGTTTTTTAAATGACTCATTTGCAAGACACGTTCCTTAAGCGACGCTGGGATTAAAAATGCTTTCAGAAGCAAACCTAGTCTGCTTCTGGGGCTTTTCTCTTTCCCCTCTCTTTCTCTCTCAGGGCTGTTTCTGTCATCCTGGAAATGCCCTTGCAGCAGTGACGAGAGCTGACACAGAAATCACAGCTGAACATCCCTTGACTCAAACACACAGCAACAAATGAGAGCAGGTAAGCCCACGAGAGACAACGGCGCTGCAAGGTAACTAAGTGCCCTGTGGAAGGGGTACATCCTTACTTCACTCCTCTTGGATTTGGGGCCTGGGGTTTCTTTTCAGCTTTGTCACAGGCAGCAAAGGTTCCTCTTCTGAGCGATTCAAACTGAACAGTTAGGCTACGAGATAATCTAGCAAGATTAATGAAAAACAAACCTGCCAGAATAAATGATCGTGTGAACATTCATCAAAACCAAAGGCCAAACCCCTGAGGCCAAACGAGCAACCTTTGATACTCCAGCCCAGTCACGAAATCTGGTGCACCAGAGATTTCAGGGCAGCGTGGGAGGGAAACTTCCGAGGTGCCACCCAGCGCTGGAGCTCTCACCCCATCCCCTTGGAGGACTGAGCCACAGGGAGAGAAACTTGCACTGAACAGCTTTTAGGAGGCTTGATTTGATTGTCTCAGTGGGTCTCTGTTGGCTGTGGGTTCCGAGGCTGCAGCTGCCACCCGTGACACCACTGCTCTTCCACCACGAACAGGGATGACTGTCAACAAATCCCACCAACTCCTGGGCTCATCATACAACATCTGTCTTACAGGGTCTCAAAGATTTGTGTGGTGGGTTACCTGGGAGATCTGGGCAAGGCCTTTCCCATGTGCCACATAAGAACCAGCAGCCCTGGAGGGGAAAAGCAAGGACAGAAAGGTTTCACAGCCACATTTGAGAGCCCTGTTTCAGAAAAGAAACAGTGTCTCTCCTGAAAGTGTCAGCTTAAATTGCAACATTAAACTGCAAATGAAACCACTAAAGATTTGCTTCAAGGCCTCTTGCTGTAGATGGAGAAGAATCCCCAGATTCTTGGGGAGCTTCTGCTCATGGTAGACAAAAAGCTGAGTCCTGAGGGAGTCAGCAGCAGGGATGGTAAAACATAAAGGAGTAACAGCAACACGAGGTATTAAATTAACTGATGCAGCCCCATTAAGGACGAGGGGAAGCCCAGGAGAGACTGAAATTTGGAGCCAAGGAGTGCAACGATCAAGGCAGAGGATCTGGAGACTAAGCCCCTCAAAAGGGATATAAGGTGGACGTGCCATTTCCATCGCAGGGCTGGCCAGACAGTCGGGCACAAGGAAGAATCAGAGACCAGAAAAAGCCTTTCCACTCCAGCCACCATCCCGAGGACCATCTGACCTAAGGGTTTTCTGGAAATGCGCTTTTCTGCCATCAGTACAACACAAAATGAGCTGCTGCTGCCTATGGCAAGAGAAAGACAACAATTTAGCCCTTGCAGAGCTCAGATGCACAAAAACCAGAACAGAGCAAAGGGATGGAGCGCCAAGACAGTGGCCAAGACATCTTCTCTTTCTGCTGGGACACTGCTCCTTTAGGATGCTGGCATGTTAAACATTCCCCCCCTCGTTATGGAAAGTGATTTTACGTTTTCAGCAATCCACCTGTGCACGTCAGCCTGTAATCACAGAGATACATCTAAGTGCCACTGCCAAAGATGCCAAGATGCAGTATTTACCATGCTCAAATCATGCTTCCACTGAACTCCTCTGTCACTGCCTCTAACTGCCAGTACTATCTCCACTTCCCAACGTGAGAACGCCGCAGACAGTCTCAAGTATCACCAAACCGTGCCACGGCTCCATCGAGTGCAAACCAGCCCTTGGTTCAACAGAAGCTACACATGCAAAACAGCGCTAACGGGAGACTCCGGAGACGATCCGTTAATTGCTGCACCTCCCTGACACTGCGCTCGGCAGCGCTGCTACAGGCCGAGCAGAAGCAGCAAGGCAGTACCCGAAATCAGGAGCCGAGCGCTGCCCCGCCGGTGCCCCCTCCCTGCCCGGCGCGCACTCACCTGCGGGCAGCGGGCGGAAGGCGCGCACGGTGTTGCCCCGGCGGAGCGGCGGCCCTGCCGCGGCCGGCGGGTCCCGGCTGCCGCGGGACTGCTCGTAGAGCCGCAGCATGTGCTCCGCCACCCCGTCCGCCGCCGGCAGCCGCCCGTGCCCGTGCCCGTGCTCGGGCCGCCGCCGCCCCGGGCCGTCGGCACCCTCGGCCGCCCGGGCGCTGCCGCCGCCCCGCACGGCCCCCGGCGCCGCCCGCCGCCGCAGCCCGGCCCGGCCCGGCCGCGGCGGGTCCGGCAGCGCCAGGCACAGGCAGCACCAGCCCAGGCACAGGCACAGCACCCAGCGGGCCGGCGCCGCCATCCCGCCCCTCCGCCTCGGCCAGCGGCGCCCGGGGCAGGCGCGGCCCCGGCAGGCGCAGACGGCGCTGCGGGGAAAGCCGCGGACGGGGTGTCCTCCGCTTCTGGGCAACGAAAAAAAAAAGGGAAAAAGCGGGGCGGAGGAAAGCGCCCCGGTCTAAACCGGCCGCCCGCCCGCCCGCCCGTCCTCCCTTCCCGGCGTGGAGCGAGGGGTTTTATTCCCGGTGGCGCAGGTTGCTGCCGGGCAGAGCCGGCGGTGCTGCTCCCTCCCCGCTCCCCGCTGCCGGGGCAGAGCCGGGCGTGAGCCGCCCGGTGCGGGTGTAACCGCGGCGATCGCCCCGCCCGCCCTCGCTCCGGCTGCGAAGCGCGGGGAACCGCCACCCCGGGGGAGCGCGGCGACCGCACGGACGGAGGGCAGGGCAGGCTCTGCCAACTCCATCCCCCCGGGCGGACGGGGAACCGGGCGGGGGACGTTCCCCTGCCCGCCTCCAGCCAGCCCCTCCCAAAGGCCGTACGATAACGCGATCGCAATAAAACAAAAATTCCGAGTCACGCCGCACTCGCCCTTCTCCCTTGGAACGTCTCCCGGCTTGGCCGGGCGCAGAGCACAGTCCGCCGCGGGCAGGTGGGACGGATGCTCCCCGGGCAGGTGGAAGGGATGCTCCCCGAGCTGGGCTGGGGCTCTGCTCGCCTCTCCAGAATACCGGGAGTACCAGGTCACGCTCGGCGACCCTCGGCTTCCTTCTCTGTCACCCTCCAACCCAGACGGGGCCGGCATAGGTGTGCCCAGCAGCCTCGAGCCCACCGAGAGGGACACGCGCCCAGGGAAATCCTGCACGTGAGGACGACCCCACTCCAGCAGGGAACAGCAAGGTGTCCTTACTCGGCTGGGACAATTCCCCGTGCCCCCTGCACGTGCTGCCTTTCAGCACCCAAAGGACAGAAACATCTCACTCCCCTTACCAGTGCCACAACACCCCATCAGATATGACACTGTCCCTTCCGAAATCCTCTTCACAACATAAAGGGTGCCTCACCTGCACATCCGCCTGGCAACGCAGGGGAGGTGGAAGAGGAGCCTCGTTAAATTGTCCCTGTTTATAAATGCATTGGTTTCTGAGCCAGAGAAGGGGAATAATAAGATCAGCCTGCAGATCAGTGCATGGAGCTTCGCACACAGTATTGCCAGCAGAGGCCATTCACATTTTCAACGTGCTACACAAAGTGTATCATTATCCAGCCCCAAATACAACACTGCAATACATTGGTTATTGCCCCTCAAATTACACTGGGTGGGAATGCCCAGCACCTCCCCCAGGGCGGGGAGTTCCCCACTGGGTGACCGTGAATGGTGAGGTAGTTTTGGAATCCTCGGTGGCCCATTAGCAGCCATGACCCCTCAGGCTGGGTGTGGAGGTGCTGGTGACTCTCCGGAGGGGTGTTATCACACTCCAGTCATTGGTGTGAGGACAGGAACATGCTTCTGTCTCACAGGCTTCTTAACGCCCAGCTTATAGCCTGAGGGGCCAAGAGTGCTCTGGGCAGCTGCTACAACCGGTCTGTTGTTACCAGTTCCTGGGAAATGACATGGAGGGTGTAGAATACTCAGTTTGAGTTACACCCACACAGTGAGGAACTGGGACAACACACAAGGTCAGCATCAATGCTAACAGTACAATTAACTGTACCTCTCACTTTCCTATGTAAGACGTGGACATAAGCGCAACACAGAAAACAAACCGCCCAAGTGAACATTCAGAATTAAAACATTAAGGCATGATTGATTTTTTGAACGCAAGTAATAAAACCAACGCAGGTCCCTGCAGAAAGAAAACAAAATTATTTGAACTGATAACTACAAAAATCAGCACAAGCAGCAATCTCTGGCTAATATCCATGGCTGAACTGTCAATCCCAAAGACGACTCTTTATGCATCTGAAATACTGGAACTGCCATTTCAAGCTTCAGTCACGTTATTTCCTACTGCCGAGAAAAGCAATGTTAAAAAACCCCAATCAACAACACACCACAACTCCGTAAATGAAAGGGGCATAACTGAATCCTCTTCTACACCTCCAGTGCCAAACAATATACTGTAAGAATACGATGTTTTGCCATCTCCAACACATCCTCTGAGCTGCGGCCTGGCTCTTGACATCGGGCCATCTGAGAACGACTTTAAAACACAAAATAAGCCCTCAGAGACAGCACGGACTTAAACCATTCTCGAGCAAAGGGGGTTTAGTCAAGAGCTAAAGCTCAAGCACCCTATGGCTGAGCTTTTATTTAAAACCTTTCCAGTGTTAGCAGAAAGCCCTGTTCGTGCAAAATTAAATCCGAATTTGGCTCTCAGAGCCTCGCCCCACCACTTGACCGCGGTTGTTTAAGCGTCTAAAATAGAAAGTCAGTCCTGTACAACTCTGTTACAGCCCGAGAGGAGAGAGAAAGAGGACTCTGGGAGTGAGGCAGAGAGGAAAGAGTCAGCTCTCGGGGCACGAGAAGCCTTCTCCAAGTCCCCCTTGTCAGATGGCTGCTGTGTTTCCTGAGCGTGAGCACAAGAACACCTTTGCTTTATGGACTGTCCCAGGGACGTGGCAGGACGCTCATCACACAGAGTTCTGCAGCTCCCAAAGCTTAAAAATACTCCCCTTGCTGTGAGATTTTTGAATGCCAGAGCCCTGTGAGCACACAAAGCAAAGCAAAGCAAAGCAAAGCAAAGCAAAGCAGAGCACACACAAGTTCCTCTCCACAGTGAGTGACAGCTGACAAAGGCTCAGCCCTGACCTCTGAGGGAACAGTGCTTTGGCACCTCTCTGCTATTCGTTCTCCACTTCTTCTACACGAGTGCTGCAAACAACAGTTATCAACAGCTACCCTCCCTCCCAGCTACAGCCTGTGCAGCTCCAGGTGGGTCTGCAGGCCCGGCTTCCTCCCTGCTGGGCCCAAGCATCTCCATGCTAGTGCAGTCCATCCCAATCCACCACAGAGTCTCTGACGGGTGAAGCAACCTGGCCTTTTAACACCTTAGTCACAGGCACACAGCAGGCTTCCATGTAAACCAAGTTCATTTAAGTGGTAAACAACTCCTGTGCCATTGCCAGGGCCAGCCTCACCACCCTCCAGCAGTGCCTTCAAAACTGCTATTTAAAAAACTTCCACCAGAAACCTTCCAGGTTTGTGCTTTTTCAGAGCTTGCCACAAAACACGCAACCCGGTAACCTGGCAGTTATTTGTTCCCTTCACACGAGCACTCGGAAGTCCCAGGGAAGAGGAAACCACAAATACTCCTTCTAGGGGAAACGAAATAATTACATATTTGCATAACAAAGTGATATTAGCAAAATCTGTTCGGCATGTGAAGACCAATCCCACATTTGTGCTCTCAGTTGCTTGGCTCTCAGCCTCTGCAGAATTCACTTACCAAAGCCATCTCCGCTGCTGTGGCTCCCACATCCCAGCTCTTCTGGCTGTCATCTGGAGAATTCCCCCCTGCAGCTCTGCCTCGGCTGCCTTGCACCCCCCCTCTGCACATCTGCTCGGCTGCCTGAGATGGGCTTCTGTGGGCTCTGCTCTGGCAGGGCTCCTCACACCGAGTCTGAGTCAGTGCCACCAGCTTTGTCCCAGCAGTACGTTCCCAGCCCCACAAAGTCACCTTTTGGCCAGGCAGGGCAGGGGGGGAAGCCCAGAGCAAAGGCCCTTGTGTGCAGCCATTCCCTGTGTCCCCCGGGCTGGCTTTTCAGGGCTCACCGGCCAGGCTGGCTGTTTGCTCAGGTGGCCAGGAGCAGCCTTCCCGCTGCAGGGGCCTTCCAGAAGAATTCCTTCTCTCGGGCCCCAGGATCACATGTTTCTCTCATCACAGGGAACTTGTGCTGCGGGATCTGTAATAACTCTGCCCAGAGCCGAGCTGAAATAAAACACCCCTCGAGTGAACCCCAGCCAAAGAAGAGGAGCGACGCTCCCTTCCGTGCAGAGCCACGTTCTGCACACGCAGCTCGTCGGCGTGGCCACGGGCTGTTCAGCACCTGGGCTTCTGTTTGCTTGGCAGTGGGAACTGTGCCTTGGCCTGCACTGCTTGTCCCTGCCTGCCTCGCAGAGAAGTGCCCAAAGGTCTTAGTCACCTGTAATCTGATTGCTGGATGTGGGCAATCTGAGTTCATGGGGCATGTTCCTCAACTGCATCTTTCACTGATGGCCAAAGGGAGAACATCTAAGGACTTTAGTGTTTTATACTAAATAGTAACAACTTTTCTGTGATTCTGCTGGTGGCTCGTGATGGAGCAGTTCACCACCAATCTCATGCTACTTTCCAGCTTCATTCTGTGATCCAAAACAACCACCACAAGAGCTCCCAAAGCTGATGCAAGACCAAAGATCCAGAGTCCACATAAAAAGAACAAAACTATGATTGTGGAGGGGTGCTAAAGAAATATAAAAGACTACAAAACATACACAGGCTATTAAAATCTGTAGACCCTAACTCATGCACACAGTTCAGATGTGCTGGAAAAACACCCACAGCTCTCTCCCCTGGCCCAAAATCTCGAGATGCTCAGTATGGGTTCCCTTAGGGCAGCGTGCAAACTCCGTACCCGCAGTAAATGTCACAGTCGATGGTGACACCAAAATCTCCTCTAAGGAGAGAGTGGAGGCACTTCCATTCACCTTATATTTACAGAGAGCAATAATTTGGGGCTGGACAGTTTGCATTTGTTTTGCTAAAAAGCCACAGGGCATAAGAACACACGGGGGAAGCTTTGCTGTGCTTATCAGTCCTTGGAACACTTCTCTCCTGATTCCCACGTGTTCGGCACTGTCCACTTCACTCGTGTCTGCTCAGGGCTGAGCAGTGAGGCTGGAGAAGAACATCCTCTAAGACACGGATGATTTTTACATAAATACTGTATTTTCACTGATGAAATCTAAGGATGAGCAGTGAAATGATTCATCACAAGGCCTTTCCTTACCAAGGAAAATTAACTGGCATCACACAGGAGAAAAGACCAATACATGGCACCACAATAATCCAAAATAA